TTGGTTTGTGGCAACTGAACTAAGTATTCCATTGCCCTTTGGATGTAATATATACAACTCTAGCTGTACCTCTACCAGGTACATAGTTGTTGGCTAACTACCTACTCCTGAGTACAAGAGTACACCAACTACCTACTCCTAAGATACAGGGTACACCAACTAACTACTTCTAAGGTACATAGTATACCAACTTCTCTTAGCAGTACAAAGCTTACCTCAGCCCACTACCAAGACGTGGTTGATGTAATAGCTACAAAATATACTAGAGGTGGCCTATTGCAATACTGCTATAGCTACAGAAACGGATCGGTAGAGCCGATCAGCCCCTAACTCCCAACAGAGACTGGTCGACCAAGAAGCGAATGAGGAGCCACAGATTATGTCTAACTGTATCTTTGTCGTTATCCCCAGGCACCTCGGTGCTGTCACTACTACTTGATCCTAAAATGTAGAACCGGAGGAGGCCGACGAGATGCTGCCGTGATTCGTCGTCTTCAACCAACTCAACAGCAGGCACTTCTTCCATAACAAGCTTGCGGTCCTGCAGAGAGTCTTTCCAGAGAGCAATGAATTTCTTCAAGTCGAAGGGCACGACCCTCAAGTTAAGTCGGCCTCGACCACACCATAGGGGAGTTGGTTGTCAAGCAGCATCATGTCATGACGGATGCCATTGTAGTTGTGCTCAAAGAATTTGTTCAACGAAACATCCATCTTCCCGGACCTATCTGTATACCAAACCATGCACTGCACCAGGAAGCAGGCGTCAAAGAACATCATGGGTAGGAAGTCGTCGTCGCTGAGACCTGCGTCCTTATTGCGGTAGAGGTGGCGGGCATAGGTTGTGCCCACGGCAGAGATGACGGCGCCGTACAGATGCAGTGGTAGGCAGCGACATGCTTCATCTCCTCTGCCTGCTCCAGGTGGTCAAGGCCGTGGTGATAAGGCCCGATGGCCACTATGCACGGCTCCTTAGACCATTTGCTGAGATCTGGAATGATTGGAGGTGAAGGGTACCTAGGCATCGTTCTCATCATCGTGTCAATCCTAACTTTGCCCACCTTCCTCTGCATATGCTTCTCCAGTTCCATTTTGTCCTCATCGAACCCCTCGTGTGCTGCTGCTGCTTTCTGAATTATCGGATTATCATCATGCTGTGTGGCTGCAGCATAGTAGTTGTAGTTGCCCTATGCTAGATTCAGGCACGTATTACCAAAGAAGAGAGAAGAGAAAGGATCGGAAGACTACTTACACCGGGGCTGAAGAAACGCAGCGAAGCTCCTATTATGTATATAGAGCTTCAGTTCCTGTGGCAGCAGACTGTCATCTAACGTCGGGCAATTGGTTTATGACAACGTTTGGTCTTGACGATGCATCATGCATGCACGTGCCCACAGCGGCGGATCCAGAAAATATTTTAGGGGGGACTGAACAACACATAACTTCGACTGCTGCTCGATCTTAAGTCTCAACCCCCTACACTATAGAACTTTGTCTAAAAATTCATAAGGGCTCTACAGTGTTTTCCACAACTCCGGTATGGGTAGGGGGGGGGGGCTAGAGCCCCCCCGCCCCACCGTTGGATCCGCCCATGCGTGCCCACACATGGTTGCGGCTACCATCTCCCACTCATGACGCCAACCATATTTGTATCGGCTGATGACAGTCCTTTATCCACTTGAAAGAAAAAATAACACTGTACTATACTATATGTGAATGAAAAAAGAAGCTCGAGGGAGCATTCTATATATAGTTGGTGGTTCCAACCGAGAGGGTATTTTATATATCTACTACTTAATCTGTTCTAAATTGTAGGTCGTTTTGGCTTTTCTAAATATATTGTATTTGCTATGTATCTAGATATGGTGTATATCTAGGTGCATACCAAGATGAATGTATCTCATAGTTCAGAATTTTGGCTCGAAATTTACGAATTTTGGCTAAATTCGTTTCTACCGGCCAGGCCCGGTAAACTGCTATGCCGGCCTCTAAATTTCGGCCCGTTTTGAATTTGTTTTTGGCCCAACAAGGTCCACATAGCCCACTTATCCATTCCTGGCTATATAAAGTCCTATCTGAAACCCTAGCTGATGGGAATTTTATTTCTCTCTCCTGCTCGAGCTTCAGCCGCCGCCAGCCTTCTCTCCTCCTCACTGGCTCTCTGCTCTGCATCTGCTTGCTCCGGCACGGGTAGGAATGGAGCTGGCGGAGGCATACGCGCGCGACCATCGCGCACGCAAGGCTGCGCGGCTCTTGTCCCATCTCTTGCGACTCCATCCTTTCGTTCCTCTGCCTGCGCATCTGCCTTTCTGATTCCCAATCTGATTCGAGCCCGGCCATGAGAGGAGAGCCGGCACAGCTAGAGACATCACCACCGCGATAACGCTGCAGAGGCATAATCTGCGGGAATGAAAAGCAGCAGGTACTTTAGGAGTTGGCCCTTTCGTCCGTGTTGTTTTCATCGATTCAGAGTCAGATGTAGGTACTGCTTGAATGATGGTTCAGACTGAATTTCCTGACCAAAAATGCAGACTTGAAGTAGTAATTGACGTTAACTGATTTTGTAAACAAAATATACCAAAAAAATGCTTTGGTCTATTAATTCAATTATTCTAGACGATTTCCGTTGATTTCGTTCAAAATTTCGTCCTTTTCGTTCAAATTTTGGACTGATTTCATTATTTTTTCAAAGTTAGTTTGGGCATATTTTGCACGGAGAAAATCCGAAAATCATGAAATTCGTTTCTACCGCCGGGCACCGATATTTTTCCACCAAACGATAGTCTGAACCATGATGTATCTAAAAAGCCAAAACGACCTATAATTTAAAATGGAGAGAGTACTTTAGATCAGAGGAAAGCCCCTGCGTGAAAATGGAAGTTAAGGCCGCTACTTTTATGGGCAACGGCTAGAATAGTAGGGCAGTGGATAAGTGAACGCGCACGTCCTCGTTCAACTGCGGAATCGGGAAGCACGCAGTATCCTTGTACTGTTGAACGAGCCGCCACGGCTTCTTCGCCCAACGGATAATAACAATATAATGTTATGAACCAGGAAGGATTTGGAGAAGGGCGGAAGGGAAATCTCAGGGAAGAAGAAGAACAGAGGGGTATAGTGGGGAGAGACGAACACTGTTCTCTAGTCAAATAGCAGGGGTATACCAGGCTAGCTAGCTAGCAGCGCTTCCAAGCATCGGTAGCCCAAGCACTTCCAACAATGCAAGCTCGCTTTCTCCCCTCATATGGCTCCTGCCACCCCAGGCAATATGTAATTCCAGTGAGGTCTTTCCTTTTTGCTTATTTTTTTTAGGTCTTTGCAACTTTTCTAGGAAGCTCCGGCGTTTTTTATGAGTTGGTTTCCTGTTGATTTGTTTTTCCCCGGTCTAATCTTTGTATTTTTCTTAGTGGTTTGGAGTCGGTAGAGGTGTTTTTAGCAAGTTGCGGGAGCTTCCCTCCCTGTCCTGTCTTCCTGTTTCTCTCCTCCTAATCATATTTTCAAGGCAAAAGTCTTGCCGCCTTTTCAAAAAGAAAAAAAAAAGTATCAGTAGCACATCCTGGCACGGACGGCCTCCTCCACCTCCTCCTTTGTACACAAAGCACGTGGGTGGCGGCAAGTGTCCGGTTAGGATGCTGGGAGTGTTTTGAAGGCATTGTATATGCTCTTGAAAATCAATAAACCTTTCTTTATCCAAAAAAACATAGGAGCAATAATCCATGACTCTGGAAACCAGAGACAGCTAGCAGGGCTGAATATATTCAGAAGCACACCCTACAGCTTACTTGTGGTTGTGGAAGGTCCTCTTATTATACATAGATGGAGCTTCGATGAATTATTCCTGTGGCGCGCAGAATCTCATCATTAACCGGTTTGCTTGTGACGACATTTATGTCAGTTTGGTCTTACTTGGTGCATGCGCAATCAATACCATGGTTGGTGCTACGTAGTAGTACAATAAAATCTAGCTCGATCAATCACGCCAATATGTTGTACAGCTACGTGCCGCCAACCATGCATGCATACAAACATTGTCGTCGAGGACAGTCAGCTCTTGAATGAAGCCACAACGGTCACCGTCGGAGCATGGCAACTAACGAGGCTCGCTCACTTCGATCTGACAGTCGGCATGCATGGTTTATGAACAACCTAAGCACCAGAAACATAACGCCAAAGCTCTTCACGTGCAGCACGCAGGAAGGAATTAAAAATGAGATGACGGTGCGGCAACTGGTCAATGATGCTTACTTGTCTTACTTCTGCAGCTATATAACTTCGTTAATTGGGATGGCTACAGTCGTTGCAGACCACATAGTGTGGAAGAGTTAGTTCTTGTACTTTGTACATTTCTCCTTAAAAATATTCAGATCAATTCCCGTCGAAAATTGGAAAGACAGGGATAAGGATTTACTCGACTATCCATACATTTACGGATTTTCTATATTTTAAGATTGTTAGCCCGTGCTGATGAGATAGTAGGCTATAAATTCAAATCTCCTATGCAGCATACCAGCTAGTTTGCAGATTCCATGGCCAACAGACGAATATATAGTACTGTCACAATCAACACGTGAGCTCGATCCAGAATCAGAAGATTAAGATGGACCTAGCATTTTACTGCAGCAAACAGCATCTTTCAGACACATATGTACCGGCATGGCCAGGAGCAGGAGATTACAGGCGGTCTTGATCAGAAGAAGGCGTCAAGGGATAAAATAAAATAAAATATGAGGTCAACTGGACAAGCAAATTAAAAACCGCAGACATGCATAAACAACCACACGCGACAACACATAATTAAATAAGAGTTTCTGATCCCTCTTTTTTTTTTCCATTCAGCACTGGCCATGGTAGTGTCACTGTCCATGGCCCATGGCCATCGCCATCGGGGGTCCTCCTCGCAGCACCGCTGGTGGTGGTGGTGGTAGTGCGGCAGCCGCCCGTCGCCGCCTCATTATTACCACCCCTCGATGCTGTACACCGGCACGCCGTAGTACAACGACGGCGCCTTAGCCATGGCCGGAGACGGAGCTAGCCGGCGCGGGCACGACGACCTGCGCTGCTGGCGGCTGCGTGGTCTGCTTGCCGCAGCTGCAGCCGCAGCAGCAGGTGCAGGGGGCCGGCTGGGTCCTGGCATTGGGGCGCTCCAACATCTTCTCCAGCAGCGGGCGGAGGTTGACCGCGGGCGCCGCAGCCGTCTTTCTTCCGTGCTCCTCCTTTTCAATGCCTCCGTCCTTCTTCTCCTCGGTCTTCTTCTCCTCGGGCGCTTTGACGTCTATACCCTTGATGATCCAGCCAGCCTCCCAGGAGAGCTTCCGACGGACCTTCTCGGCGTCGAACGGGCCAGAGATGGTCACGAGATTCCTCTTTTCATCAAAGGAGATAGTATTGATGTTCATCTTGTCTGCGCAACCCAGTCAATCACAATCAACAATGATCATCAGCACAGATCGAACTGCTAAACAGTTGTAAAAGCGACTGACAAGTAATTAAGCACAACAAGTGGGGAGGTGATTGGTGCTCATGCAGCCATGTGATGGCAGATTGGCATTATCAGACTGCAGACAGAGGCGTTTGCATTGGTGAATGACTGAATATATGGTGACGAGGGTTATACTACAATACTGTACCTTTGATCTTGTGGAGGACCCTTCTGATCTTCTTGTTGCATATCTCGCATTCAAGGTCAACCTTGACGACCATGGTGATCTGCGATGTGATACAAGGATTAAATAGATGGTTGTAAACGCAGTGCTATTGGAAGTAAGCTAGGCCATGGGGGAAGTGATGTTTTACGATAGTTCTTGTTAAGGTCGATACAACACATAGACCTTAAATCTAGCAGGTAGTTCCAACCATTGGAGACGGACGGTCTAACACATGTTCTAAAGGGGCATGTCTTCTCAAATCAGGAGACGAAGACCAATTATGTTGGCCTCTCAACTCTGTTTTGAACTATTGGCCGTGGTAAAAGCCGACTCTGCTGCTCCCAACAAGAGAAAGGAAGTGATAACAAAAGAAGAAGAAGAAATCCCTAGGGCTGCACGTGTTCCTTATCTTACGGCGGTGGTAGTAACAGGACCGAACATTTCTTTTCTTCGGAGCAGAGAGAAATCAACAAGACCCATCACGCAAGCAAATTAAAACTGCAAGACTAACAGCAAGGACAGGACACAAAACGAGCAAGCGTCAGGATTCATATCATTGGGTGGTGGGTGCTCTCCTCTTGCCTCCTTGTCGGCCATGCGGGTCGATCGGATACGCCCGAAGCTCCGTCACCTTGCCTGTGGTGGCTGCCGAGAGAGAGGAGAATTTCTGTGACGGAGGAGGAGGAGGAGGAGGAGGAGCGGCGGCGTCTTCGAACCAAGCTGAGGTTGCGCACGCAGAGGCGATTCGTCTTGGGGCACCACCAATCGACGACGCGTGGGCCACCCCAGGCCTTGTCGGCCCCTTTGTCCTTACTTTTGGCCTGCACTGCACATTTCAGACTTCTCCGATCCCGACAAAATGCTGAAGAGAAATGACATGCATGGAAACGACAAAGTGTAGGGTCTCGGTTAGATCCTAAGTTTTTTCACTCTCTCTGTCACATCAAATCTTTAGACACATGCATGGAGTATTAAATGTAGATAAAAAATAACTAATTACATAGTTTGATTATAGATTACGAGACGAATCTTTTGAGCCTAATTAGACCATGATGGGACAATAATTGTCAAATACAAACAAAAGTGCTACAGTACCAAATACTGATTCCTACAAAAGAAAAGCAGAGAAAGTCTCGAGCACAAGTATACTTCATTGGCTTCTCGATCGAGTTTTGTGCGTGACAGCTTGCTTGATTGATTGTCACCAGCAAACAACAAGCAGAGAGATTGATAGTCTACTTACTCTCACCGTACCCTTTCTATCCTATTACTATGCGCGTGTTGGTAGCAGGCTAGGGGTCACCACGGATTAGGCCAACAACCAGAGAGTAAGTAGATAAACAATCCTGTAGCCTTTTGCCATTTGTCAATGCGGTACCGCCTTTTGTTTTCAATCTGGAACGACGCAGGGAAAAAGCGCATCATCTATTTCCTTCCAAACTGCAAGTGCTGCTGCACAACTCATTCGCCATTTGATCGTCGCGTACTGATGCTCGCCCAAAATAAAATGCTGCAACAGAACCATGCCATGGCGTGTAGCTTGCGTTGCCCTGGCATGAAAGAATCTTAGGCCTGTGTGGATCCAACTAATGTTCAGCCCCTGGCTATATATCCAACTAAATATTAGCTGCCCACTTTTTAACCATGTGGTGTTGTACCCACACTACAAGAATCCTGTTAATCCATGATGGAAAATTTTCGTCACGGATCACTGAAAAACCGTCAGTAAACAGCATCTGTGATGGTTTCAGAAATCATCACGGATTGAGCATCATGGATTGACATGCGTGACGGTTTGTCGAAAACCATCACGGATTAAGATAAGCGGTGACGGTTTTAAACCGTCACGATAGAGCCCAAGGCCTAGTTAGTCTAGCCCGAACCCATTTCCTGTGACGAAAAATAACCGTCACGAATCAATTGCCACATCAAAGATACACCAGCTCATTTGTTAACAGGCCAGAATCAAAGATGGGCCAAGTTTGGCCCAATTTCAGCCATTTTCGCATCAATTTTTCAGCCATTTTCACAGGCCCATTTCAGCATATTGCAACCCAAATTCATCACTAATTTTTAGCCCACTTTTCAGTCCACTACTACAGAACATATAGCCCATATACACAGCCCATTTTTGAACATTCAGCCCATATACACAGCCCACACACAACTCAAATAATTACTGTTGCAACAATATACACAACCCACACATTAAATAAAATAATACATAGCCCACATATTAAATAAAATAACTCATATTTCCATCCAACAATATATCACATAAATTTGCAACCAACATTAGATTACAAGTATTCATCCAACAATAGTTAACATACAGAAGTGCATACAGCCATATAGTTTACCATGGCACAAGCCAACAACACAGAATGCATAGAAGCCCAAAGACTTGATGCATGTAGCGAAGAATAACAGCAAAATGCGAGCAGCAGCAACAAAATATATACCACCATGTATCGCTTAACTTGGTCGAAATTGACTTGACACAAGTTAGCAGCAGCAAAATGCATCAAGTTAGTGGCAAAAGATATGCACCATGCACGTCTTAACTTGGTCGAATTTGGCTAAGTAAAAGGTTAAGTTTTGCTTCCATCTCAGATTGACTCCTCTTCATCTCCTCTCGGTCAATAATCCTTGCACTTTCGATTCTTGCACTTTATTTGACAAATCAACCACTTGTACACGAAGCTCACCATTGGTCTTTTCTCCGCTTCCAGTTCAGCGCTCGCCCATTGGAATTACGCCGGGCATTACGGTACCCCACATTCTGCAAGAACTGATTCTTCTTGGTGTTCTCAGCAAGCACATCAGCAACAACTTGAGCCGCAGACTTAAGTTCTTCACCTTCTGTTGTTGTAGATAGCTTGTTTTCCATCTGAGTCTAGCAAACAAGTAGCAAAGATGGTTGATGTTGAGAGAATTAAAAATACAAAGATCAAAGTCTGAAAATTATCTTACAATAGCCTCTTGTACAATAGGGGTGTAGCATTTTTTTTGCTGTAGTGGCACTCCTTGAACAAATCAAATGCATTAGGTTCTTCATCATTATATTTGTCATCCTGAGAACAACATATATGCATTAGGTCCGGCATGAATTAAGATGTTACAAAATTTTGGACAGCTACTATTCAACTAAAAATCTAGAAGAACATGTTCAACTATAAATAGGATTAACCTGAATAGTTACTGTTCAACTAAAAATCTGGAAGAACATGTCCAACTAAAAAAAGACAGTTGCGGTTACAATAACAGCAGTAGCTTATTACAATAGCACCAGTAGCTTGTACCAAATTATACAAAGACAAATCTAAAAAATAGCAGCAGTAGCTTGTTACAATAGCATATGCAGCAGCATGTTACAAATAGCTTAATATGGTGGTTAATAGCAGCAGAAGCTTAATATTTTTTTTATGACAAAGGAACCTTTATTGATTAGCAGCAAGCTGCTGCAACAAGGGAGAACCACTCCTGGTTTACATCATACAAAGCCTCATGAAGAGGACATCTACTAATATGTTCGGAACTGATACATGTGAAAACAGCAAGGCTACAATTATCTGGTGAGGCTCTAAAGGCTTGGGAAGATAAAATATGCTTAATATTGTCATCACAAGAGCACAGTATGTTAAAAACACAATATTCTGTAAACTTATCCTTACATTAGAGCAGCAGCATGACAAGTAGTTGTGTTCTTACATAAATCAATACATCTCAAATTCCCTTATGTAAAGTGAGAAAACATTTCAGCAATATGAAAATTATTGATGAGCTTCATATAGAGAGCTTTATCCCCCAGCATGCTTAAGTAACAGTTGCATACATTTATTTATAAGGTGTTTAACATGGCTCACTTACCAAATTCTCAACATGAACCATGTAGGCACGGGATCCGGTTGTGTGATGCTACTTAACTTTCCCTCGGTTGTCTTTGTTCTTTTGACACATCTCCTACATCAAAGACAAAAAATGCATGTAAGGTTGGTGATAGATTAGCATGTACAAGGCATCATTTTGGTTTTTCAGAGAAAACATACCATCTTTTTGGGACTCTTCCATGATTCTAAAAGTTTAAGCCAATTGTTCATCACCATGCATTTGACAGAGAAGTTTTTGTAACCAAATGTAGTGGAAAAGGATCAAAATATTCTGCCTTCAAATTTTGTATCTTTGTTGGCAGACCGCAGATTGCATCATCTCAATACAACCCTTTTTAACTGTGTTATCCTCTGTGTTTATGTCAAACTTGGCCTAATTGAATGGAAGAACATGTGTAGAAAAGAATATCAATTCAAGTAACTTATGGCATAAAACAACAAACAATGGTTCTTATATTGAGACTAAATGTGGAAGGGCCAAAGAATGTATGTACCTTTAGTTTTCCTAAGAATAAATCAACATACGCAGATGCGAGTTCTTTCTCTTTTGGTTCTTTCTCGTTTGGTTCTTTCTCTTTGGTTCTTTCTCCTTTGAACTTGATGCGCAGGTTTTTCTTGTATGACTTCAAATGCGGGAGTATAGGCACATGGTTCCTAACTATGATGTTGCATTCACTTGCAAACTTTGCAAGCAACAAGAGGAACCACCGCCTTATATGCCCTTTGATTATGACAACTTGCGACTTGCCACGGCGTGCTCGGTTTAACCTTTGGAGACCAAGTCCCATATTATGTCCCCGGTCCCTTCTCTCCTCTCCCCCTAGTTGTAAATGTACATTGAAATTAAAATTAAGTAGGTGAAGCAAACATTGATCCATTGAGGCAATATGGAATATGAAAATAGAGGAACAAACTATCACCTTCGTTATAACTGGTTGTCGTCACCATGTTGGGTAATGCCATCACTATACCCGCCCACGATGGTGTTGTCATCATCTTTGGGCAAAGCCATCTAAAAAGGGCAGCCAAGAAGAATGCATTCATCATACAAACCTAACTTATAGAATGACAGTAAGAAACCATCACCTCCATCATCCATTCGGCTATGCTGATTAGGCCAGTCAATTGCATCAGCCCCAGTGGTCATGTGTGTGTTGTCAAGTAGAGCAGAGTTATTACCTAAAATTATTGGCAATAATTAAAGGTTAGTTCATCATGTTACCTAGTAAACAAGGCACACAAAGGAAAAGGTCATCCGCTATACAAATTTGATGCCCAGACAAATTAAGAAGTACATACATGCTATAAATAGCACATTGCATAAATTACATCAGATTTGGATACATATATTTTTTTTAGGGGAATCAGATTTGGATATATAAAGCATCATACAAAAAGGAGAAACAAAACAAGTTTAGACCCACTTAAACAAGTTCAGCCCACTTTTTAGTGTCAAACAACAGATTTAAAAAAAATAGTGAAAATTGGTTTCATGAATCTTTTATACCTAAAACTCTAGTTAACATTTTCACAAGCTAAACAAGCATTAAACTTGGATAAACAGGTACAACACATAGACAAACTTCATAGATCAAGTTAAACATTTTTCATAGCTGAGTCATGGTAATGGAGTGAGACTAAGTAATGTGGCAATAGAACTGACCTTCAACAAAGATCCGTGCTTGGTCATCTAAGTTGCCAACAAGTTCTCCAATAATGGCTCTCATTTGCTTTATGCGATGGAGGTGGCACAGAAATTTCACTTGGTGTTAGCCTTGCATCTTGTTTGGGCATTGTTTTCTTTGTCCTTGTAACTCTAGGAGATGTTTGGTCTGCAAAAACTCTCTTGCGAGATCGAAACTTGACTCCACCTGTGGTGGATTCTTGAAGGTTGGTTGTTAGTTTTCTTGTGAGTCTTCTCCTTAGAGCACTGTTAGAAATGAAAGCATGTATTAGTCCACATAGCATTAGAGTTAGATTGAATTAGGAAGGGAAGAAGAACAAGTTAAGACTTGACAACATGGAGGAATTAGGACCTTAGAATTCTCATCGTCAATCAAATCTCCTTCATCAAGATATTATCAGAGGTCGTGACTCGCCAACATTTTGGCATAGGGATCAGCAAGTCCAAGTTCCTTCAAAGCATTGCAATCGTTTCTTCATGCATTCTCTCAGGCGCTCCATTTCAATTGGAAGCAGCCCTGGTAACAAGATGAAAAAAAACAAGACCAACATATCAATAATATTATATAGTTCACAACCAAAATGACTGAATCAAAGCATCAGTACTTCAGTGAAAGTTTGTGTAACAAGAAATAATTTTGGAACACCAGAATGACTGAATCAAAGCATCCCAAACTATGCTGAATACTCTACAGCAGGGATTCACATTAACATTTCTGTAAAACAAACTAGAACTGAAGCCCCCTAAATATTTGGGATATTTATGATACATGTTGACATACAAAAGAAGAGAAGAATTGATATATCAATCTGGAGTGCACTCAGATCTTTCAACAAGGATTTTATTCAGGAAAGCATTTTCCAAACAAGTACACATGCTACAGACATGATATCTAAAATTAACAATAGTGAAACACATCCAGATGTAAAAATGTCAAAAAAATTTCCAGCCTGGGCAAGACAAGGCTTCCAAAGTACCATTGGTTCCTCAAACCAGCAACTAAAGAGGTGATGTTAGGACTATACCTGCTATCCGGCCTCCTTTCGGTTTATTTGGCACACCCTTCGGCGCCATAACAGCTTTTTGCGGCCTGGGATGCTGGTGGCAGCGTTCTGATCCTCCCAGCAGCAACGATGGGCGTGGCGGTGGAGCAGTCCTTCCAACAGCGACGGCGGCGGGTTGAGCTTGAAGTCGACGACGGCGGCCGGCGGGGCTTGAAGATGATGATGGCGGTGGATCTCCCGGGGCGCCCGCGGCTATCTAGGAACGGCTGCTCTAGCAGGTGGCCGGCAGGACGTGACTTGGAGGCCGAACCCAGGCACCCTGCTCCTGGAGGTGTGTGGCGGCCTCCTGCTCTTGCTCCTGGAGGTGGCTGGAGGCCGAACTGAGGTGGGTGGCGGCCTCCTGCTCCTGGAGGGTGGGTGGCGGCTGGAGGTGGGTGGCAGCTGGGAATTAGGTTTTGGAGCCAGAGAGTGTCGACACATATATGTGGGTGGGGAGTGGAATTGGGAAGACCAAGGTACCCCTGATAAAATATGTAATAGCATTGCCTATATATTTTTAATCTGTATGCAACTTAGGGTAGTAAGGTCAATTCGATCCACGAAACATTTGGGGCTGGCGCACATTTCACTTGAAAGCGCGCTGAGCCGCTTGGGCGTGCGGGAACTTTCTTTTTTCCTGAAGCTGAACATTGCCCTTTATATTTGGAACCTTCTAGATAAGTATATGTTTCATAGGAAGGCTATATTTGAGATTTGCTATTATGTAAAATAATAATTGATAAAACTATAAGGGTTCATAATGTTGTGAATGACGACGATCAAACGAGGAAGAACGCAAAATCATGTTCTGTCACACTGGAGCAGCTAGCGCAATGGTAAGGCATATTGTTTTCAACACCTAGGATCAGGGTTCAATTCCTGGAGATTCCTTTTTTTGTCATTTTGCCACGCCGTGTGCGGGAATGAAAAATTATCCCATTCCATCGCTATTAGTCATATTCTACTAATTATTTTGTCGGAATTAGGAATTTGGGCCAAACAAGCATCATGTAAGTGCATACACATAATTTATCATGTCACGATCCCTTTGTGTTGATAGTAAATTTGGTCGTATTCCACCAATTCTTAGTAAATCGGGCCAAACAAGTGGCATATATGATGCACCCACATAATTCATGCATGTTATGATCCTTTATGTTGGTAGTACATTGTGTTCTCATTCTGTAGCTATTATATATAGTCGTATTCCACTCATTTCCGGAGTTTTTTTGGAGTAAGAAAATTGGGCCACACAAGTAGCATGCATGTATGATGCATAGACATGGTTCACGAATGACTCCATTCTAAGTAAGATGGTCATCCGTCATCATGAACCTAACCCTTTATGTTTGTAGGATGTGTTAACAACCGACTCAAGCAATGTTTTAGTGCCCAAGCACGTTGGCATGAGACAACGACAACAAAATCCATGCTAAATGTTCTAGTGTTGCATCCATATACAATTTTCATGTTGCCACGTTCGTCATCACAGTATTGAAAATCCAAGTTCAAATACATTGAGTCGTTGATGCATTCATTTTATTGATTCATAATTTTGTGTCCACTTTAGCATGAATTGGTGTAATATATTTTTTAAAATATTTTTAGGCTCAACTAGCAATATATGCGAGATTTGGTCCAATTTTAGATAGTGAGGCCCCATCAGTCATTGACCACTATGGAGATTGTTTTCCCAAAAAAAAAGGACAAAGAGAGAAAACACACGAAGCTTCCTTCAATCCTCCTCCCCCGACTTCGCCGGCTCCACGCGCGCCACGCCCACTCCGCCATAGGGGTTCGCCGCCTCCCTCTCTGCCCGTCAGACGGCCCCCCGCCGCGCTCCCCTCGGCCGCCGCGCCGGCCGCATCCGTCGCTCTCGCGTCCACATCCGCCGCCATCCGCAACACCCGCCACCTGCAGCGCCTGGCCTCTCCCCAATCGCCCTGTGCAGGTGCCGGGAAGTTGCAAGCTCTATTTGTTTGCTGACAAAGATGATTGAGGACTGATGCAGAATGGACCAGATGATGTGATTACTGAAGATGTCAAAGATCATCATGAATGTATTTCTTGTTGTCATTGTTGTATTAGGCACCGAGCTGTTCCTGCCAACTGCCATAGTACTGAAGAGAACAGCCGAGCGTATGTGTCGACAAGGAGATGTCAAAAGATTATCAACATAGGGCAAGCTGTAGAATGAACCTGTACATTGACAAATGAGCCTGTATATATATATATATATATACATATATATATATTGTGAATGCATTGTTATTTTGAGTTGTAATGGCTTCTGAAATGAACCTCTGCTGATTGACAATGCAAGTGCATTTCATGTACTCCTGTGATTGGCAATGGCCCAGTGAAATGAGCCTTTTGTAATGACTTCTGGAATGAAAAAAATGATGTCTTTGGCATGATTTCTGGAATGAAAAAAGTGCTAGTAATGACTTCTGAAATGAGCCTATCTTCTTGACTGATTGAGTCATTTTCATGAATACTGTAATGAAAAATTGCATGTCAAGAACTACCTAGCTGTGAATTTTTTGCATCCAACAGTGAACCAAAACTTGAAAAAAAATCTGAGTAACCATTGGTTACTTCGGCTTTGAACCAAAACTAAAAAGAAATTATACATAAATTCCATAGCTGAACATGATCTCAAATACAAATTGAGGCTATCCATAGCTGAACATGATCTCAAATACAAACTGAGGCTATCTAAAATAGTAGAACATGGTCTCAAATACTAATTGGGGTCTCAAATACAAATTGTGCCTTACAACAGAATATTAAAACATAAAATTCCAACAGAGCCTTGCAGCAGAACAACTATTCATCGTCACTGTCGACCTCCATAAGTGTGTCGTCTTCTTCGTTAAAATACTCCATAAGTGTGTCGTCTTCTTCATCTTCATCACCAATGACGACATTCACTTCTTTGCTGGACGCTTTCATCAACCGGGCAATTTCAGCAGCTTCAAAAACAGGGCCTGGCTCATCCTCTCTATTTAAAGGCTTATCATATATAATGTTAGAAACCGGTTGTCGCGGACCCTCCTCATCATAGCACTCGTCCTCTTGATATGCAGCAGCATTAACCTCAGTCTGACTTACATTGTAAAGATGCCTATGGTCAAATGTCTGTACAACTTGCCAATTTTCACCCAGCCTTGTATCTGGCAAATAGAAAACCTTTGTAGAATGAGTGGCCAATATAAAACAATCATTCTTGTACCACAGACTTCCAACATTGATGCTTCTAAAAAAGCCATCATCTTTAAGTGCAGTCCTCTTCCCATCTAGTTTGAACCAGTCACACTTAAACAAAACTACGGACCTCTCCTCTAAGTTATAGTCCATCTGAATTATCTCTTTTATGTTTCCAAAAAAATCAATTATCTGTCCATTATGTGTAGCTTGTTTCCAAAAAAATCAATTATCTCCACTGTTTTGTGTCTTCTTGTTCTTGTCAAGTTAACAAGTGTTAAACCGCACACCATTCACTATGCACGAGGAGTATTTTCTAACTCTCAAATCAGGACCGCATGCCAAGGAGAAGATATCAACATCCACCTCTTCTGGATTTGTACTATACTTCTTCAAAACCTGCCACATGCATGCAACACACATATATTAGAAAAATAGAAGTTAAATTATGCAATATATAACTTGACAATGAACACTAACATGGTTCCTAAACCAGGTTTGAAATCCTTGTCGAAGCATTCTTTCAATGTTAGGCACCCCCCGTGTCTCTAACTCTTCTCTGAGCATGACATGTTAGAAAAATTATAAATTCTTTGACAACACAAAAGTATCATATAGATGTCTAGAAGTAAGTTTATAGAACATACTTGACGTAATCCTCAACTTGGGCACAGTTGTTCAAGCACAAACCACACCATTTGATCAATGCCATTTTCATCATATACATATTCAAAAAGTGCAGAATTAAAATTAACTCCATGCCCAAAAACATCAACACCATAAGCTTCTTCAT